AATGGAGTTTCTAACCAAAAAGAACCAAACTTTCTTGATCAACACTATTATTGATCAACCTATGGCTTCACTTCGAAGCCTTTTTCTCCTCCACTTAATTGTATTCCTCCTTTTCTGCTTGGTCTCTCCTAGCTCGAGCCAAGCATGGGACGGTGTAGTAATCACAGAAACTGATTATCAAGGTCTTCAAGCTATTAAACAAGAACTGATTGATCCAAGAGGGTTCTTGAGAAGCTGGAACGGTTCTGGATTCAGTGCTTGCTCTGGAGGTTGGTCTGGAATCAAATGTGCTCAAGGTCAAGTCATTGTGATTCAACTTCCATGGAAGAGTCTTGGAGGTAGAATCTCTGAGAAAATTGGACAGCTTCAAGCTCTACGCAAGCTTAGTCTTCATGACAACAAGCTTGGAGGTTCGATTCCGTTGTCTTTAGGACTTATTCCTAATCTCAGAGGTGTTCAGCTTTTCAACAATCGTCTCTCTGGTTCGATTCCTGCTTCTCTTGGCGTTTCTCGTTTCCTTCAAACTCTTGATCTCAGCAATAACTTGCTTGCTGAAGTTATTCCAGTGAATCTTGCTGATTCTTCTAAGCTTCTTAGGCTTAATCTTAGCTTTAATTCACTCTCTGGTCAAATCCCAGTGAGTCTCACTCGTTCTGCTTCTCTTCAGTTTCTTGCTCTTGACCATAACAATCTCTCTGGTCCAATCTTAGACACTTGGGGTAATAATAACATGACTTCTCCTAATCTTCGTGTCTTGTCTCTTGATCACAACTCTCTCTCTGGTTCATTCCCATTTTCAGTCTGCAACTTAGTTCAGCTACAAGACTTTACCTTTAGTCATAACAAGATTAGTGGAACCCTACCTTCAGAGTTAAGCAAGCTCACTAAGCTTAGAACAATGGATATTAGCAGTAACAGTGTTAGTGGCCAGATTCCTGAAACTCTAGGGACCATTTCTTCTCTTACACATCTTGATTTGTCTCAAAACAAACTTACCGGAGAGATACCTATTTCGATTTCTGATCTGAAAGGTCTTAGCTTCTTCAATGTCTCTTATAACAACTTATCAGGGTCTGTTCCTATTCTCTTGTCCCAAAAGTTCAATTCCAGCTCCTTTGTTGGTAACTTACAGCTTTGTGGATACAGCGTTTCTACGCTGTGTCCTACTCTAAATCCTCCTTTACCGTCTCCTCGGGAATCTACCCATAGGAAACTGAGTACTAAAGACATCATCCTCATTGCATCTGGAGCACTCCTCATAGTTCTGCTTATCCTTGTATTTGTTCTCCTCTGTTGCTTGCTGAGGAAGAAACCAGACGGATCTAAACCTAAGGGCGGAGA